GTGTTAGTCAGCTATGAAGGTCAAAATTATGTCAAGATCATCATGTTAAGCAGAATCAAGCAGGCTCAACAAGACAACTATCTGTTTCCTCTAACCTGGATTCTAGAAAGAAAAAGACAAAGGTAGAGTGAGGCCTGGACTATTATGATTTGGAGGGGGAGTGGCACTAGAAGAAGAAGGGAGAGAGATAGTAACAGGGTTAAATATGATCGATACTGAAGTCATATGTAACAAAATCTATGTTGTCCAATTCATATATGCTAATGCCTAAAATTACACTTTTTTTGAGGGGGGGAGAGGTCCGGTCGTGGAGCCTGAACTCAGGGCCTGGGCGCTGTCCCTCAGCTCTTCAGCTCAAGGCTAGCGCTCTACCACTTGAGCCACAGCGCCACTTCCAGCCTTTTTTCTTTTTGCTTATGTGGTGCTGAGGAATCGAACTCAGGGCCTCATGCATGCAAGGCAAGGGCTCTACCACTGAGCCACCTTCCCAGCCCACATTTTTTTTTTTAAATAAGGAAAGAAAAAAACTTCTGAATAGGTATAAAGGTAACACTTCATCTCTTATCCTAGCTACTCTAGAGACTGAAATCTGAGGATCATGGTTCAAAGCCAGCCCGGGCAGCAAAATCTTTGAGGCCCTTATCTCCAATTAACCACCAGAAAATTAGAAGTGGAGCGCTAGGTCAAGTGGTAGAGTGCTAGCCTTCAGCAAAGACGTTCAGGAACAGTGTCTGGACCCTGAGTTCAAGCCCAAGAACGAACTCTCTCTCTCTCTCTCTCTCACACACACACACACAGCAACTCTTTTTTTTTTGGGGGGGTCCGGTCGTGGGGCCTGAACTCTGGGCCTGGGTGCTGTCCCTCAGCTCTTCAGCTCAAGGCTAGCGCTCTACCACTAGAGCCACAGCGCCACTTCTGGCTTTTTCTTTTTGCTTATGTGGTGCTGAGGAATCGAACCCAAGCCTCAGGCATGCAAGGCAAGCGCTCTACCACTGAGCCACCTTCCCAGCCCACACAGCAACACTTATTTAGGCAAACTTCAAGAAACAATAGAAACTTACATTTGGGATGGATCTTTAACAGCAACAGCAAACTCCTCAAAAGGACTGTCTTGCCTTAGTGTAGGGTTCAATATGCATTTTAAGTTCTTCAGCATGCATAAGATAACTGTCACTATCTCTCCACTGGGCCCCCTATGTGGGAAATAAATCTATTTGGAAAGATATCCTCTTCACTGGGGGATAAAGTGGTTCCCAAATGCCAGGGTTACTGCTGCCTCCTGCTGGTAAGAATAAGGGATTGGACAAAGCTGACCAGTGCTCTGGGAAACAGCAGTGGTTTCCACCAATAATGCATCATTTAAATAGTAGAGGTAAGCTGATAAACATCACATTGGGGAAGAAGCAGGGGCTGGAGGTGTGCAGTTTAAGTTGTCAGCTTCTATTTCGCCAGGGAGTGATCCACAAGCTAGAGATACAATGTAGACAATTATAAGAGTTTAGAGATTATTATTGCAATCTGCCTATAAGGTCAGAAAGACCCACAAAAAATCACCAGAATACTGGAAGGATTAAGCTTCTATACCAAACATACACATAAACAACAACAAAAAGAAAACCCAGGAACTTCAACCTTTACCAAATTCCAAAAATCTCACAAACTGAAATGCAGAACTTCTAGAGACGTAGGGAAATATTGTTGAAAGGACCCAAAAGCTTGAACCATGAAAGAGAACAGGTGATAAGCCTGGCTGCTAGTAGTCACTTGTGTAATCCTAGCTTCTCAGGCAGGAGACTGAGATATAAGGATCCAGGTTCAAAGTCAGCCCAGGCAGACAAACCTAAGAGGTTCTTATTTCCAATTAAGTAACAAAAAGGCAGAAGTGGAGGTGTGGCTTATGTGGTATAGCACTGGCCCTGAGTAAAAATGTTAAGCAAGAGTTTGAGAGCCTGAGTTCAAGCCCCAGACTGACTTTACTAAAATTAAAAACATCTGCTGTTTAAAAGACACTGCTAGGTTAACAAAAACATCAGCTACAAGTTGGGAGAAAGTATTTGTGTAACATATAGCTAATAAAGAACTTACATTCTGAGTGTGTTTGTGGTCTCTATATAAGCTAATTTAAAAATAAAGAAGCCAGGCACTGGTGGCTTACTCCTGTAATTTTAGCTACTTGGGAGGCTGAGATCTGAGAACTGTGGTTCAATCCCAGCCCTGACAAAAAAAAGACCATGAGACTCTTATTTCTAATTAATTACCCCAAAGCCAGAAGTGGAGCTGTGGTCTAGTGGAATAAGAAGTTTTTGATATTGTTGTTTTCCGGTTTGGGGGCTTGAACTCAGGGCCTGGGCATTGTCCCTGAGTTCCTTTACTCAAGGCTAGCACTCTACCACTTTGAGTCACAACTCCACTTCCAGTTTTCTGGTGGTTAATTGGAGATAAGAGTCATGGACTTTCTTGCCAGGACTGGCTTTGAACTGTGATACTCATATCTCAATGTCCTGAGTAGCTAGGATTACAGATGTGAGCCACCTGCACCTGGCAAACTTTTTTTTTGAGTACATCACGCTTCTAGAAAACTCCCAGGAATTTAGAAATTTGTTGTATGTCTGGTGAAGATAAGCTCCAAAAGAAACATTTATTTGTCCCCAGCACCACAAAAGTGGGGAGAAAGAGAGAGACAAAGTTGATTTGTTATCTGATTTTATTTCTATTTGGTAATTTGTGGCTTCAATGTATTAATAATAGGTATCTCTGAGTTTCTAAATGAACATAAAAATAAATGGATAATGAAGAAAATAGAAATTCAGAATATATTAATGACTCCCGATAATGTTCATAATTATTTCATATATATAATTACATTTATTTTTAATAATATAAAGGCCAGCCACCAGTGTCTCTTTGTCTGTAATTCAAGTTACTCAGGAGGCTGAGATCTGAGGATCACAGTTCAAAGCCAGCCGGGGCAGGAAAGTCCGCCAGACCCTAATCTCCAACAAACCACCAAAAAGCTGGAAGCGGAGCTGCAGCCCAAGCGGTAGTGCACTAGCTCTACATTGTATAAAACAATTACATGTTACATAATAATGATGTATTATTATAGGTACATTATATAAATCGATACAATAGCATATAGAGTCTAATCTCATTTTTAAACATAATTTTTGACGGCGGGGCCGACGTTCATAGAATTTTAAAAAACACCTGCTTACCCGTGTTTTCTAATCTTTTACAGAAGGCAAGCGGAGGCCTAAATATGTAAAAAGAGGGCGGGACAGAACCACCTGCTGCTCCTCAGACTGACAGCACAAAGAACCAATCACACCCGTCAAGGCTGGAAGGCTTCTAACCCGCCCCCCACACAGGGAGGAAGGGAGACGAAGAGAAGGCGCAAGCGCAGTGGGTAAAAGGCGGGCCTAGAGCCTCGGGGGAAACGACAGCCTTGTCGGCCAATCGAAAGACAGCATCCTCAGCATCTTCCTGTGAGAGAGGCCGGAAGTTGCCTTTGGGCTGCGGCGGTTAAAGACGCGGCTGTGTGAACGCGGGGCTGAGGTGAGTCGCGGGCGGCGACCGGCGGTGCGAGGCTGCGCTTCCTCCGAGCTTTCCGTCCCGGGCCCCGCGGCTCCCTCCGTGCTGGGAGAGGTGCGCCCCCCGGGGCCGGGCCGCCCGGAGTCGGGCGGCCTTGCTGGGCGCGGCCTGGTCGGGGCCGTGGGGCCCGATGGGAGGCTCGCGTTGCGAGTTCGAGGCCCCACGCCGCTGCTTCCCTGGTCAAGTCACGTGCCCTCCCCGGCCATCAATAAAACGGAGCTGCCCCGTCCCTGCCCTGCCCGGAGTTAGCGGTGCGAGGTGTGTGCGGGGCCTGGGGCTCGAACTCGGGGACTGGGCGCAGTCCCTGGCCTTTATGCTCCAAGCTGGCACCTACCTGATCACTTGAGGCACAGCTCCACTTCTGGTCCACCCCCCCGCCCCTCTTCTTTGCTGGTTAATTGGGAGATGAGAGTCTCACAGGCTTTTCCCGCCCGGGGCTGGCTTTGAACTGTGGTCCTCGGCTCTCAAGCCTCCTGAGTAGCTTAAGATGACAGGTGTGAGCCACCCAGCCACCTGAGGACATGTGGAGCGGGTCTCGAGTTCACCCCAGGCAAAATCCGTTCAATCTCTGGGAAGTGGGGACCCTGGGGTACGTTTCTTTGGGGGGGGCACGGCCCCCAAACCCCACCATCAAGAGAGTGTTAGTTGGTGTGAGCCCTAGAACAGGCTGGTTTCACTGAAATGAGAACGGTGCAGCAGGCTTTTAGGAAGTTTAATCCCAAGAGGATTGGGAGAGAGCCGGGGAAACGGTGACAGCGTCCCAAAAGAAGTGTACTCATTACCTGACGTGTGTGTCTGTAACCCCTCTGCACATCACCTTTGTAACTAATAAGAAAAAAAAAATCCCGAAGTGACGCTGTGGCTCAAGTGGTAGAGCACTTGCCTTCAGCTGAAGAGCTGAGGGACAGCGCCAGAGTTCAAGCCCCAAGACTGACCAAAAATTAAAAAAAAGAAAAATCCTACCTTGCAGTACTTGGGGGTCCTCATCTCTAAAGCAAAATTTCCTAATTTCATTTTAACCCTAGAATTAGGGTGAAGTCGAAAACTGATGTTCCTGTCATTGGCCTTCAGAAAATGGCAATCTCGGTGACACCCATCTTGTAAGAAAGACCAGAAAACTCACCACTTAAAACCTGGGCTGTCTCATGTTACTTCAGGGTACCAGGTCAGTATTAATGGTCTTGTTTTAGTAATGGTGTTGTGGTTGTAAGAAAATAGTCTTGGTTGTTGTTGTTCTGAGAGATCCATACTTTATTTGGTTAGAAAAGTGTCACCAATTCAAATTAGTCCTCACCAAGTTACCTTAACCAAAGCCTCATTGTTCCTGTGGTTCTCTGTCTCCTCTCTCTGTGTTTGCTTGCTTTACATAGGTGTCAGTCCATTTATCAGGGACAAATGTTGGAGAAAATTGGAGGGCACATTAGTTTTCTGCTGCGTAGAAAACATGTAGAAACTTAACCCAAAATATCCAGTTATTTTTATGGCTTAGTAGTCTTTTACGGTTTAGTATTCTCATTAAACTGAAATAAAACTACTGGCCAGGACTGAAGACTCTGGGGCTTGAGGCTCTCTTCCAAGATTGTGTAGTAGGCACAATTCCTTGTTCCTTGCAACTATTGAACTCACAATCCCTATTTCTAGTGTCTTCTATTATTATTATGCCTAGTGTCTTCTATTATCATCATCATCAATTAATTGTACAGTGGGGTTACATTGTGATGTTTCTGTTAATACATATAAAGTGCTTTAATTCAATTTACCTTCTCTTACTCTTTCGTAATCACTTTCCCTCCTCTTGCTCTTTTAAACAGTTTTTCGTGGTGGGTTTCATGGTTCCATTATCATATTTAATGTGCTTTGCTTCTGTTTGCCCACTCCCTCTGCTTTCTGGGATATATTCTTGTTTTACAAATACACACAGAATTATTTAGGGGCAAAAGGCTGAGATACCAGTAAAGCAAAATGAGAGAAGAATGTTTAAAATGTGCTTTTTTTGTATATTCCTGTAGCTTTTTCTGGATTGAATTTAAAAAAGCTGTAACTGTTTGCAGATAAAATAAGTATGTTAGAAACAATTGAAGTAATATTTTAGGAACAGTTTCCCACCCATTTCTGTGTGTGTGAGAGAGAGGGAGAGATGGAGCGGAGACAGAGGGAGAGTTACTAAATTGAACCCAGGATATCCATTGTGTTAGGCAAATGTTGTACCCACTGGTGCTGTGCCCCTAGCCCCTACCCATGTCTTCTTGAACTTCTCCACCAGTTGTGTGTTGGGTTGGTTATCTTGAAGATAGGGTCTTGGTTTATATTTGTGTTGGCTTCCATTGTTTTGGAATAACAGGCTACCTACTCAGCCATTGGTTGAGATGGAATCTCTGGGACATTTAAGCCCAAAGTGGTCTTGAACCTTGATCCCCTGATTACAAGCTTGAGCCACCATGCTTGGCTTGTTATATTTTAGCTATCATACTGTATCCTGCTTTCATAATGAAGGAATTATTTCCCACTTTCTCTTTTCAAGCAGTGTTTCATTAAATATGTTTGTTTACATCTTAGTGTAATTATACCAGTCTTTTTATGTGGTTTCTAGAAGTATAATTGTAATTAAAAGTACAGCAGCTTTTAAAAGTTTGATTCTGCCAGTTTAAATTCCATACATAAATACTGCCTTTTCCATTAGTTGTACTTGAGATTTTCTATTATCTTGGGTTTTATTGGCCTAGCACCTAAGAAAATTATGAAGTGATCTTTATGGTGGCTTGGGCTGTAGGAGCTCTCTACTTTAGATGGCCTTTCTCTTGTGTAGATGGCTCAGAGAAGTCTGCTCCTGAAATTGGGATGCACACTGAATAAACAGCAGGATGTGCCCTCCAGAGAAGGTTAGATGAAACGCACTGGGCACACCAGCATGTGAACATTGGGATAGAGAATGAGAGGCAGTAGTGGAAACTGAGGCTGGACTAGTTGACATAGTGAAAACGCATGAGCACTGGAGTCAGGGAAACAAAAGGGGGGTATGTTGAGAAGGAAGAAAAAGCTACAGACAGCCAGGTGCTGGTGGCTCATGCCTGTAATCCTAATCTGAGGATTGCAGTTCAGAGCCAGCCTGGTCAGAAGAGTCTGTGAGATGATCTTCAGTTAACCACCAGAAAAGGCAAGAGTACTAGCCTTGAGCAAAAGAGCTAGGACAGCACCCATGACTAACAAAAGAAAAAGGAAAAAGCTACAGAAAAACTAAGGTGAATATAGAAAAAGATCCTTTGGATTTGGTGAGTTTCTGATGAGTAGTTTTAATGGAGTGGGAGGTATGGAAGCCAGATTGGAGGAAGACAAAAATGAGCACAGAGAACACTGGTAAAGGAATAAATTTGAAGTGGCATGGTCACAAGAACTTAAGTATTGTTCATGACTATGCTCCCTTGACTGTCAGCTGCGTCCTAGGTCCCCCTGAGGCTTGGGGACACAGGACAGGTTTGTAAAGCTCAGTGCCACAAATTCCAAGTACAGTTCTGCTGCCAGTATGTTACTTGCCCTGTCTGAATCTCTGAGCAGATTAGCCTAAAAGCACTCAGCAGCCTTTTCGTTGGATGATACACCTACATTGAAATGTAATAAGTATAGGTTATTGGGGCCATTGAAGTTATTGGGCTTGAACTGGGGTTTGATATTTCTGTAGAAAGGATGTAAAAAAGTTAATGTGTCCATGATTCTGAATTAGATAATCATTTCTGAAGGAAATGGTGGATAATCCCAAGAATCTAAAATTTAGCAATGTTCATTTTACCAAAATGCTTACAGGTAAACATTTTCTGAAAATCTGTAATAGAAAGCAAAAAAAAAACACCCCAAACCCAAAGCAAACAAACCAGGATTGTGATAAAAACATTATGAGACAGCATATACTGTTTGGTTGTAGAGAAACAAGCAGAACTGGTGAGGGGTATGAAATCTGGGTTTTCGTTACAGGTGAAAGGCAACAATGTGTTTTAGTGCCATATTAAGACAAGGGAAAGTAGGTGGATGGTTGACATTTTATGAAACATTTCCCTGTTGTAAATGTTACTTTTGGAAACTAAGGTTCACATTTGTCAGGAGATAGAAATACTCTGTCTGTAGTCACTCATTGTGGTGGGTTTGTTTTGCAGCTCTGCTCTGAATCTTGGTCTGTTTTTGTAGGTTTTGATTTTCCACAATGGGTGAACCCCAGCAAGTGAGTGCGCTTCCGCCTCCCCCAATGCAGTACATCAAGGAATACACGGATGAAAACATTCAGGAAGGCTTAGCTCCTAAGCCTCCACCCCCAATTAAAGACAGCTATATGATGTTTGGCAACCAGTTCCAATGTGACGATCTCATCATCCGCCCTTTGGAAAGTCAGGGCATTGAACGGCTTCATCCTATGCAGTTTGATCACAAAAAGGAACTGAGAAAACTCAATATGTCCATCCTTATTAATTTCTTGGACCTTCTAGACATCTTGATAAGGAGCCCTGGAAGCATAAAACGAGAAGAGAAACTAGAGGATCTTAAGCTGCTTTTTGTACACGTGCATCACCTTATAAACGAATACCGACCTCACCAGGCACGAGAGACCTTGAGGGTCATGATGGAGGTCCAGAAACGGCAGCGGCTTGAAACAGCTGAACGGTTTCAGAAGCACTTGGAGCGAGTTATTGAGATGATTCAGAATTGCTTGGCTTCTTTGCCTGATGATCTGCCCCACTCGGAAGCAGGAATGAGAGTAAAGACAGAACCAATGGATGCTGATGACAGCAACAACTGCACTGGACAGAGTGAGCAACACCGAGAGAGCTCAGGACAGAGGAGGGACCAGATCATAGAGAAGGATGCTGCCTTGTGCGTCCTGATCGATGAGATGAATGAAAGACCGTGAAGGTGCTCCGTGGTACTGGAGAGTAGCCTATTTTCCCTTTGAAAGTCCTAAGAGAGATATAACTAAAAGCATAAAGGGATTTTTTAACTTTTTAATTAAGAGATGCTATAGGTTATATTGTACTATAAAATGCACATGGATGAGTGAGCATACCCATATTACAAGTAACCACTTTACAAAGCAAATTGTTTACTGTTGTGTGGGAGAGTCCTATTTTTGGAGTTGCAATAAAAGTTTAAAGCAGTAATAACTGTCATCCTTGAAAGTAAATTTGCTGTTGGCTTTAGGAATGATAAAGGATATCAAGCTGAATACATGGGAAGTTATGAAATCTTTCAACTTGTTAACATTTTTGCTTGATATCTAAAGTAGTGTGTGAAGTGTTGAGAGAGGAACCCAGTAGGATTTTTTCATCTTTTCCTTTTTTCATTTTTTCCTTACAACTCATGTTTCAGCCTCTTCATATCCCGTGTAGTCTTGGCATCCCAAGATGGGGGGTGGATCTTATAAGATGTCGTTTTTGTGGGTTTTTTTTCCCCCTTTCAGACTCTTGTAATAATTCTTTGCCCACTTTAGTTCTATCTATTTGTTTTAGGAACTAAGAGGTTTATGTTCTTAAACTACATTGTCACTCATGCTTGAGGCTAAAAACCTGCAGTGGTGGCAGAGACAATTAGATATTTAGAAAAGAGTGTTGCTTCCTTCTGAGATGTGTAGCTGAGACATGGCTGGAAAGCCAGGGACCACATTTCCCCACTCAGGGCCATGCATCTGTGCCAGGTCATGTGACTGAAGTTCTGGACATTGGAAGATGGCTAAGGGACTCTAGATCTACTCCATTAAAATTTCTGGCATGGTAATCCCATTTTTCTCTCTTTTTTTCCTGCTTAGATGTATGTATGTTCCCAGGATAGCTTAAAAGCCACTTGAAGATGGAAAAGGTTCAGTTATTTGGGGTCTTAGATTAGCTTTTCCTTTCCAACTGTTTCTCTCCCAGTGAATTTGAGTTTATATGAGCAAGAAACAAAATTGAGTACTGTGATTTTGTTTTTCCATTTTCATATCTTCCACCCCACACCAGCGTCTTAAAGAGATAGCCTTGTATCTGAGGATCCCTACCTGCCCTTCATTTTCTTAACGTAGGCCAGTGGTTCTCAAAATGTGGTCCTGGACCTGCAGCGTTAGCACTTGTTAGAAAGTTTCTGCCAGGCACTGGTGGCTCATGCCTGTCATCCTAGCTTGGGAGGGTGAGATCTGAGGATTGTGGTTCAATGCCAGCCCAGGCAGGAAAGTCCATGAAACTCTTTATGTCCAGTTGACCACCAGAAACCTGGAAGTAGTGCTGTGGTTTCAAGTGGTAGAGTGCTAGCCTTTGGTGAAAAAGTTCAGAGGTAGTGTCCAGGCCCTGAGTTCAAGGCCCCCCTCCCAACCCACCCCCCCACCCAATAAAATCTCTGGCTCTTCCCTGGACCTTTTGACTAGAATCTTTAGAGGTATCATCCAAGAATCTGTCTTTACAGGCTCAAAATTAAGAATCACTAATAGAGGAAATGGTATTTCCCAGATGTCCACTTTCGACTCTTCCTTCAGTCCCTGGTTTCTAGCAAAGGATTTGCTTTACTAGGTTTCATTGGTCAAGGAGCTGAGAAAGTTCAGTTTAAAATGGCTACAGGCCAGTTCTTTGAGAAAAGCATAACCTTTGCCCCCACAAATCTTGCAGTTGCAGTCTTTGTGCAAGTAGGTTCTCAGCAGATAGGCTGCTTGTGGCCAGGTCTTTTTTTGTAATGTGTTTGGTTTGGACCTTTGGAGTCCAGAGGACACGGTCCAGGGTCCTTTAATCTTAAATTGAACTGAGGAGTACCCCTTCCTGCCATTGAGCAAGTGTTTTTGAGCAGCTCGCCAAAGAAAATTGTGTATTTCCTCCTTTACTCATAACCTTGTGGGAAAGGTGTTGGGCTGAGATATGAAACCAGTGTGGGCTTAAAACCTTTGCATGTAAGAAATGAAGTCAGTGAGCATCATAGAATCACAGCAGTTATTTTAAGTGGATAAGTGGCGGGGATGGGTTGCGGGTAAAATGCCAGGGGCATCTTTCCTTTTGAATTCCGGAGGATCTGATCTTGCAGTGAGTGAAAGCTGACGTTTCTTAGAGCATTCTGATGTGAACGCAGTCCTCCCGTGGAATGAAAAAGCATTCATGGTCTTGACAGTTGTCACAAGTTTAAAGGCTTACATCTGATCTTTCATTTGAAAGTGTCACAAAGAAACCTACCATTTTGTACACTTCAAATACACTAATAGAAGACAAAGGCCTTTCAGTTTTGTAAGGATTAAAATACACCTCTCCAACACCTGCTTGTAATGAATATTTTCCAAAATGCCCCAGAGAAAAACATCTGGAAGAATCACCAGAGAGTCATTTTTGAAATGACATTGGGTAAACTCTGAAGAGCTCAGATTTCATCTTGGGGACTGGAGTTCTGACCTGAGTTCCAAATACTGAATTACTGCTTGATAGATGACAAAAAGCCTTACTTGAACTCATTGAAGCTGAAAGATGAATTTGTTGAAAAGGATATGCATATGTTATAGGATTGGAGAGTTAAGTTGGTCAACAAAACTGTGAGGCCAGAAAGACTATGTGCCTTGTTAGTGGACCCCTGAGATCCTTTTAGCTTTCCTGTCTTCACAATAATTTTAAGCAATGTAGAGAGTTGATGGCTGCTGTTCCTAAGTGTTGAAAATAGGTCAAATTGAAAATGCATTTGCTTCACCTAACCTGTCCAGCATCATAGCTTAGCTGTCCTACCTTAGAATGTGTACAGTAGCCTTCAGTGAGGCATTGTAAAGGGGATGGATCATGGCTTCTTGACTGTCTGAGAAAAGATCAAAATTGGAAGTACCGTTTGTTTCTACTGAATGCTTACCACTTTCATTTCCATCTTCATTCAGGTTGACAGGTTGTAGGTTGAACCATTCATTTTAGGTAGTGAGCTGTGTATATCTGTGCCTACCACCGGCTAGAGGTTACCTCTCAAACACAAACTTTAAAAAAAAAAAAAAGAGGCTAATTAACCAGCTGAGAAAAGCATTGTTCTAGTCCCAGGGGTCCCAGTTAGCATCAAGTGCAAATGTCTCCTAAGGAAATAAGAAGATGACATCATTTGGATGAGAAAGGCTGTGTGGCTACAATCTCAAGGGAAGAGGCAGAACTAGAGAAGCAGATAGAAGGATTTATCTGAGATTTGGAAAGCCAGAAAGTTCTGTGACTTAGCCAAGGTCATGCAACTGGTGAGTGGATGAATCAGAACAAAAGTACACCTTTCTTTTCAAAGCCTGAGCTCTCTCAAGTTCCATTCTTAACAAAGAATGGGTTTCTTGTTCATGTTGTTAATAAGTCATGCGGGTAAGTGAATAGTGAAGTCCAACAGCAAACTCCACGATTTAGCCATAAACACCCATGTTTTCACTATGTGCTACTGGCCAAAGGAGAAATAGATTTGCACGTGGAAAGTATGGGTTCCCTTTAAAATCATTCAGGTTCTCTGTGTTGGCTTAGACTTCCTTATCTTTGGGGGATGTTGTGCTTGTAGCTGTAATATTCCTAAAACTCTTCTTTTGTTGTTGTTGTTGTGGGACTTCAACTCAGGGCCTGGGTGCTGTCACTGAGCTCTTCTGCTCAAGACTAGGACTGTACCACTTTGAGCCACAGCTCCACTTCTTGTTTTCTGGTGGCTAATTGGAAATAAGAATATCAGGAACTTCCATACCTGGGCTGGCTTCAAACTGCAATTCTCAGTTTTCAGCCTCCTGAATAGCTAGGATTACAGATGTGACTCACCAGCCCCCAGATTTAAAGCCCTTCTTACAAGGAAATCTTCATATCCATGGTTTGCTTGGGGTGGACTGTAGATCAGGAAGCGGGGATTTTTTTTTTTTAATGGGATTCTCCATCTTCCCCATTGTGGGTTGGAACTCTTTGTACATCCAGTTAGTGGTAAATATTTTAGGCATTGAATTTGGTGTAGTCTCTGTTGCAGCCACTCAGCCCTTATGGCTCAGGATTAATCACAGAAATAGATAAATATGAACACTGCCACAATAGAGCTGACTATATGGACACCAAACTTTGAATTTCAGTAATTTCCAGTCTTTGGGAAACATTCTTTGCTTTTCTTTCATCATTTAAAAAATCATTCTTATCTGTGGGAACATAAAATCAACAAAGGACAATTTGGTTGGTAGGTTGTGATCTAGGTAGATGGCTTCTAAACCCCATGTTACCACAAAGATAGTCATATACATCTCACAAATAAAAGTGATAGGCTTGTTCTAATTTTTTTTTTTTTTTTGCCGGGTGGGGGCCTGAACTCTGGGTCTAGGCGCTGTCCCTCAGCTCTTCAGCTCAAGGCTAGTGCTCTACCACTTGAGCCACAGCACCACTTCTGGCTTTTTCTGCTTATGTGGTGCTGAGGAATTGAACCCAGGGCCTCATGCATGCAAGGCAAGCACTCTACCACTGAGCCACCTTCCCAGCCCTAGGCTTGTTCTTAGATGAATAACTACAAAGCATTTATCACAACTTGGGGAAGAGTACTTATAAGGCTATTAAAAGATTAGCTAGTGTCCACCCTATTTTATTTTTTGTGCTAGTCCTGAGACTTGAACTCAGGGCTCAGGCACATTGTCCTTGACCTTTTATTGTTCAAAGCTAGCACTCTACCCTTTTGAGCCACAGCTCACTTCTGACTTTTTGGTGGCTAATTGGAGTCTCACGGACTCTCCTGCCTAGGCTGGCTTCAAAGTATACCCTTGGATCTCAGCTTCCTGAGTAGCTAGGATTACAGGCATGAGCCACCAGCACCCACCTTTAAGTTTTATTTTTAATTGAGAACTATACACATAGAGTACAATGATGTTCTGATACAAGTATTCAGAGAGATTTTTTTTTTTCTGACAAAACATTACCCACATTTAGCATTAAAGGTATTTTCAAATCACAATGTGGTGATGCTACCAGTAGGTGGCGTGCTTGTCTCAAGTTTAAGAAGCTTTAACTAAGGGCCTCAAAGGAAGCATCCAGAGACACTGCTAGTGGCACCCTAACTTACGGTACTTCAGAAACCCAGTTGATAATCAAACCCAGTTGAATCAAAGCTAGCTTCTGTTGGAAAGCACTCAGAATGCAGCTAGGTGTGGTGGAACTACCTATAATCCCAGCACTCTGGGGACTGAGGCTGGAGGATCAGGAGTCCCAGCACAGCCTGGGCTGTGTGGCAATCTAGGCTAGTCTTCTGTGTAGGGGTATCTCTAAAACAACAAACACTAAACCAACAATGAAAATAACTCCTTAAATGCCAGAGTTTGAGCTCACTTTATCAGCCTGGGCTGCCTTTGGTTGTCTTATTAGTTGCCATGGAAACTGTCTCCCTAACTGTGGTAATTGGAGTACTCAACTCCAGTACTGCTAAGAATGAGAGAGACCCACCCTAATTCCTTCTGAAACTCACTTGCCCCAAGCAACATAATCAGATCTCATACCCAGTAATCCTCAGTGCTGGAGGAGATCTGAGAGGGTGGGAGGAGCCAAGTATGATGTGAAAGGTCTGGAGCCAGTGTGATCTGAGGGCTGTGAGCTGAGTTGAAGTGTGCATGACCCAGGGGCACCAAGGCAAATAATTGCTAACAGAAACAGAACAGAGTTGTTGCTGTAAATGTTATGGGCTGTAAAAGATAGCAAAATGTTACTGGGTAGCTATCTTAATGCATTTGAAAATTTAGAGAAAGTAGGCAAACACTTAGCAAACTATCAATACTGCTTTAAAGAATAAGACATGAATAATTCTCTAAGAATGAAAAAGAAAGCAGATCAGAAGTCATCTCATAAAGAAAACTTCAGGTTTAGCCCCATTGGCAAACCATGCCAGAAAACACACACACACACACACACACACACACACACACACACTCAAAACTAATCTTAAGCAGACTTACTTTTTCAGGGAACAGAAAAACAGGAAACATTTCCCAGTTCCTTTTTTCAGAGTAGTGGAAACAAATACCAAGAAACTGATACCAGTAGTAGGTAAATCTTTAAAAAGGTAGTATTTTTATTGCCAATCTACATTTATCCTAAGAAAAGGTAAACTATTAATTCATAAAACCTAGCATTTTTGTAGACTATTTTGTGTAATACAACAAAACAAGAAGAAAAGTCAGAGCTGAAGGTGTGGCCCAAGTGATTGTCCAGCAAGCCTGATGCTGAGGCCCTGTGTTTAATCCCCAAACAAAGAAAAAGAAACATTACCTCAGCAGATCTGCAGAAAAGAGTTTTTTTTTTTTTTTTTTTTTGTCCGGTCGTGGGGCCTGAACTCTGGGCCTGGGCGCTGTCCCTCAGCATTTCAGCTCAAGGCTAGCGCTCTACCACTTGAGCCACAGCGCCACTTCTGGCTTTTTTCTTTTTGCTTATGTGGTGCTGAGGAATCGAACCCAGGGCCACATGCATGCAAGGCAAGCACTCTACCACTGAGCCACCTTCCCAGCTCTTAAATGCAAGAAATAGAAAACAAAAGTAAAATTAAGATGCTCACTATTAACTCAATATGTGCTAGAAGTCCTAACCAGAATGGTACAAAAAATACAAGTGTTCCTGAAAGGAAACCAAGTTATCATTTCTTCCAAAAAATAATTGTCAACATGAAAAATGTAATATAACCTAGAGATAATTTATTAAGCATTTGCTAATTTATGAGGGAAAATATTTAAGAATAATTTTTTTTAGGAAGAATAAATTTTATTTCAATATGTCATCAACAACCAAACTAAAAATTTAAACGTAAGGTACTAATATAGGCCAGGTATCAGTGGCTCACCTCCGTAATCCTAGCCACTCAGGAGGCTGAGATCTGAGAACTAAGATTTGAAGCTAGCGTGGGCAGCAAAATTCATGAGATTCTTATTTCCAATGAACTACCAAAAGGCCAAAATTGATCTGTGGCTCAAGTGGTAGAGCACCAGCCTTAAGCAAAAAAGCCAAGTGAGAGGGCGAGGTGCTGAGTTTAAGCCCCAGTATTGGCTCACACGCACGTGCGCACACATGCACACACACACAGAATAAGAATTGGGCTCTTGTTTGAAGTGGAAATGTGCAGATGAGGAACATACATCCATTGTTTTATTCTCCAGCTCCCAGTCCTAAGACAGATACAAAGTATCTTGCGCCGTGTATGTTGCTTAAGGGGCTCTGCTGGGCTGAGTAGAGCATGGAATTCCTTGTTAACCAGCCCAATTCACACACAGGCGGCTTCAGACCTGCGTCATCTGGGGTACTAGAGGGCTCTCTCTCTCTCTGTTTTCCTTGGCTAACACATTTCTACCTCTGAAATATGACTTCCTCTTTGTTGCTCTGACAGGGCAAATATCAGAATATTCGGAGGATGTGAGGTGGTGGGGTGTGATAGAATTGGGGTTTCCTTCAGTGCGACCTGGCAGTGTGAGGACGTCCTGGTGTGGACACTGCTGGCATTCAGAGGGGTGGCCGCCACTCCTGACGGCAGCACAGAACGCGCCAGAGGAAGTCCCAGCTCACCGCAGCGCTAGAAACACGCTGGAACAGAGCCGCCTCTGACTTTTCTTCCTCTTGAAGAGCCCATGTTGGCACACCTGTCCTCTGACTGTGGGCTACTGCTGCTGCTGCTGCTTACAAGTAAGTGTGGGCATGATTAGTCACAGCGGGAGAAGGGCATTTCCCCCAGATCAGGAGGGATGCAAGCATGCGCCGCCCGAGCAGTGCTGTTTTGTAACAACACAAGTTTGGGAGCAACCAAAATGTCCAGCCGTGGAAGAGCCGGCGAGGAAATGTGACCTGCCTGTGATTGGAAGCGGAGAGGCTGCAGCAGCACCTGTTTCTCTGGGTTCTGTTTGTGTGTATAGATATGGGGGGACAGGACGTTGTTTTAAAGATGTCTGCTCTAGGAAAGGGAACTGGGAAATGGGAAAGTGTGAGTAAGGGTCACTTTCCCTACACCTCTGATACTGTGTGACTGCTTTACATAAGAATATGTGTCTAGATAGCGATTACACGTATATATATATACATGTTACATATATATCATATATCGGTACATATGTATTGTATACGTAGGTATACATTACCAAGGAGGTAAGTGTAAATCTCAAAGCAACCTCTGAGTGGTTTCAAATGCAGGAGAAGGGAAGAAGCAAGAGAGAGAGAATAAGGAGAGAGACTTACATTGGCTATCTGGCTTTGATTGGACAGATAACTAGTGTAGATAGGTGGTCCATCATGTTCACTGTCAATTTCCATTAGTCTCTCCTCCCCTGTACGGAGAACTGTTCATCTGCAGCTCTCTCTAGGGTGCGGCCTCTGAGAGAGAGGGTCACGGTTAGACATACAATTTCCCAGGCTCAACTTTGAGCGAAGTCTAGTTGTGGAGCCCTCCGGTCAGTGGTTTGTTTTGTTTAGTTTAGTTTTTTGTTTTCAAGACGGGGTCCTATCGCACAGGCTGGCTTGTTACTCTATGTCTTCCTGCCTCAGCCCCCAGAGCGCTGCGATCACAAGCATGTAACACCCAGCACCCAGGCGGTATTTTAAGGCTTCCTGTTGATTCTGATACTTCTGGAGTTTCAGACTCACTGGCACAGCGGCTCATCTCCAAACAGGACAACAGCAGCAGTTTCCTCTTTTTTCTACAAAGCTCTATTTTTGGCTTTCTGAAATGGACTAGTATCACTTAGGGCTTTTCTTTCCTCTCGATTCAGGGTCAGTGGAAGGCACATACACAGCCCAGGTGGGTCAGGATGCCCATCTACCCTGCAGCTACACCCCCGCCACCCCAGGCAATCTGGTGCCCGTGTGCTGGGGCAGGGGGTCCTGCCCTGCGTTTTCATGCTACAGTGGGGTCCTCAACACTGATGAGAAGACCGTGAGCTATCGGAAATCCAGCAGATACCAGCTAAAGGGAGCGCTTCACAGAGGGGACGTGTCCCTGACCATAGTGAATGTGACTCTAGCTGACAGTGGCATCTACTGCTGCCGGGTACAAATCCCAGGCCCAATGAATGACAAAAAATTCAACCTGGAGCTGGTCATCCAACCAGGTGAGTCCCCTTTGCCTGAGATTCACAGGATTGTTACGGTCTCTGATTTCCTTAATAACAGACCTAGGGTTAGGCCCCAAAGACCCAAAGCTTAACAGGCTGTCTTTGTGATGCCCAGTGATGTCTAACACCCTCCCTGTGTTTTGAAACTCATGGATGGGAGATACAGAATGGGAAGAAGGGCCAGGAACTGTGATCAGGAAGTCTGACTACTCTAGGGGTCACCTGAAGAATTTTTAGCCCCGATGGATGCTCAGTCCCCAGCCACAAGCAGAGAGATGGGCGTCTCTGAAGGCAGGCTCGCCCCTCTGTTTCACAAGTGTACCCTGGGTACAGTCAGGATCATAAACCACAGAGCATGCATGGGTTTGGGAACTGGGGGGGGGGGTGCACGTTCTTACTTATTTTAAGATAGAACACATACTTTGTAGATGGGTGGGACAGAGTTCCAGTCCATCTCTGCCTCTAAACTATTACTGTCTAACCAGGGGCAAGTTATTTCAACCCTGCGATCCCTTCTATAAACTGTAATACCTGCCACATAGACCACTGGAAAGTTTCATGTAAAGCCTTTAGTAGGACCACATGCAACTTCTACTATTAGCCAGGTTACAGCACTCCTACCTCTGTCCAACATTTGCAGTGTGTGAGACACCGGCACATGATGACAGTGTCCACACGGGTTTGGAAGCTGAGGGTATGTTTCTCTCCATTTATTGTCTTTCACAATCTCTGCTGCCCCTTTGATTCCCTGAAACAAGCTGTCTTGCTCTCAGAAATGCCTCATGCCTAATACTGGTTTCTGACATTAGCCAAGGTCACCTCTGCTCCCACTGAATATACTGAAGCCCTTCCACAGATGCTTACCACCGAGGGACACAGCTCAGGTAAGACTGGGGTTTCGGAGAAACCTGTAGCTGGCATCTGCGTTCAGGGGATTGTGATTAAGAGTAAAAGCTGAAGACACGGTTTAAAATACAGAGGCATGAATAGCCTCCTGCACCTGCAGGAGTGTGGGAGGTGAGGGAGGTGATGGAGTCACACCTGAGCAGGGAAATGGCACCGTGGGTTAGTCCCACATTAGTTACATGGCCCAAGCCCAGACCTTTTACTTCCCTAAATCTCAACTTCCCCTTCAGTCCAGGGAGTGTGTTCCTGACTGAGTAAGCCTCCCCCTTTCCCCTCAAAACTTGATGATTCGTGTATTTTCCCAGATAAGGAAAGAAAAGTACCTACTGTTGCCATGATTTATTTAAAGATACAGTCCTTTAATCTTTTTCTAAGATTTTACCTGTAAAAGACTTTCATAAGAAATTAGGCTTCTACTTCACCTAAATATGAAGTAAATTTGATCTAGTGAAACACTTCTGACATGGTCTTCATTATTTTCGGATTCACTTTCCGGCTGGTAATATGGCCTATGAATTGGAGGCTATGGTTGGAGCAGATGATTTGGGGATCCTTTCTAACTGGAATAGAACCCATTGGCTTCCTCAGATTTAGGCCTTAGAAGAAGAGCTAAAGTTTTCATGTAGTTCATGAAAAGGACCCAAAAAGCAGATCTCAGCTGAGGCCTCACACTTGCGAGGTAATCACTCTATCTCTTGAGCCATACCTCTAGTGTTTTTGTTTTTTTGTCTTTAGTGTTTTGTTTGTTTGATGGTCGTGTGGCTTGAACTCAGAGCCTGGGCACTCTCTGAGCTTTTTCAGTCAAGTCTAGCGCTCTACTACTTTGAGTGTCAAGGCCACTTCCAGTTTTCTGGTGGTAGTTAGAGATAAGAGTCTCATAGACTTTCCTGCCCAAGCTGGCTTTGAGCTGTGATCCTCTGATCTCAGCTTCCTGAGTAGTACCCAGGCCTGTATTTCTGGCTACTCAGGAGGCTTATACCTAGAGGATTGAAGTTCAAAGCCAGTGCCACTCCATCTTTAATCACTAACCAGGAAAAAGCTAGCCTGGAAAGTGGTAGAGTACCAGCTGTGAGCAAGCAGGCTGAGTGAGCATGAGCCCTGAGTTCAAGACCTGGTACTGGTGAGCACGTGCACATACATGCAAAAGCAGACCTTGGCTCATACTGGCCAAACAAGCTAATTTCATGTTATTTGTTGGCAGAGTCCTGGTCTCTTTCCAAGTCTTTGGAGCTCTGTGTTTTTGTTTGTTTTTTTTTGTAAAGTGAGATTACACATAGGCAAGTCCATTGAGCCTATGGGTGTATGATTGTAATGTAGCATTTTGGGTTGTAGACAAGAGAATCATGGTTTGAGGACAACCCAGGTTGAAGATGGTGATACTTGCTTATAAACCCATCTAATCAGGTGACAGAGTTAGGAAGATCTTGAGTTGAAGCCAGCTCAGGCAGAGTAGTATGAGCCTATTTCCAAAACCCTGTACAACAAAATAACAACAAAAACTGAAGAATAACAACAAAATCTAAAGACAAGCTGGGTACTGGTGGCTTACAACTGTAATCCTAGCTACTCAGGAAGCTGAGATCTGAGGCTCAAAGTTCAAAGCCAACGTGGGCAGGAAAGTCCATGAGACTCTTGTCTCCAACTACTACCAGAAAACTGGAAGTGGCCTTGTCACTCAAAGTCGTAGAGTGCTAGACTTGACTATAAAAGCTCAGAGACTGTGCCCACACTCTGAGTTCAAGCCACACGACCATCAAACAAACAAACAAAACACTAAAGACAAAAACAAAAACAACCCCCCCAAAAAACAGTAGGGGTGTGGCTCAAGAGGTAGAATGATTACCTAGCAAGTGTGAGGACTCAAATTCAAAACCCAGTAACCACAAAACCCAAGAAAAACCAGGTAAGTCCTATATCATAATATCATCAATCGCTTCAATCACACCTTTTGAGATTTAAATAAAGGATGTCTAATTGTAGTGTATTCTCAGTTCAGGTTAGTTGCGGTGAAGAATATGTCAGTAAGATCAGAAGGTAGGAAGACATTATGGTGAAGTACCTGAGTGACAAGTAGATTGAGTTGTAAGATCAGCTCTTCTTACTAGCTCTGTGATCTTAGCAAGTTGCTCCAACTCTGAATCTTCACTTTCCATCTCTACAGGGAAGGCAGTTCTATGCCAGTGTCACAAGGTTGTTGTAAAGATTCTACAAGATAGAGTATGTAAAGGCCAAAGCTTAGTATCTGGCCTGTAGAAATCACTCCAAACAGTTTAACTATGATTGCAGCTATTAACCTCACTTGTCTAAAGGCTCAATGCTTGGATGCTCTCTAGTGCTTAGCAACCAGTGTCCCTTGAGGGACCAGTGAGGGAAGGAAGGCAGGAATCAATCAGCCACCCTATAGGCTAACCAGGTCTTACCAGATACCTGTTGTGTGCCATTGTTTTATTTCAAAGAACCTAAAGATAGGTTCTTTGCATAGACCTAAATGGGCCTCCAGGGGTCCTTTAGCTCCATTTTCCCCATCCTATGTTTCAGTGCACTTTACAATGTGACAACTACATTCATAAACTTTTATGGCCTCCTCGTGGCTCCTTATCCCACCCCTGCTGCTCCCCACATCCCAGACAGAACTTGAATTCTCCGGCTTCTTTCCCCTCCCCCACCCGCATTGGCTGACAGTGAGCTGTGACAAGGACAGTGCTCTGTGCTACTGATGTTTTCATAGCACGTTGAAATTAAGGTGGCTCAGTGGTAGAGCACTTGCCTTGCATGCTCAAGGCCCTGGGTTTGATTCCTCAGCACCACATAAGAAAAAAAGAAAAAAGCCGGAAGTGGCACTGTGGTTCAAGTGGTAGAGTACTAGCCTTGAGCTGAAGAGCTGAGGAACAGAGCCGAGGCCCAGAGTTAGGCCCCACTACCAGACCCCCCCAAAAAAGAAAGAAAGAAAGAAAGAAAGAAAAGAACATCTGGATGTCGGTGGCTCACGCCTGTAATCCTAGTTACTAAGGAAACTGAGATCTGAGGATGGAGGTTCAAAGCCAGCCCAGGCAGGAAGGTACATGAAACTCTTACCTCCAATTAAAAAAAAAAATAGCAGAAAATTGGAAGTGGTGCTGTGGCTCAAGCAATAGAGCGCTAGCCTTGAGATGAAAAGCTGAAGGACAGCGCCCAGGCCCAGAGTTCAAACCTCATAACCAACAACAACAACAAAAGAACAGAACAAACCAGGAGTCAGTCTTAGCTGGGCACTAGAGATTCACACCTGTAATCCTAGCTACTCAGGAAGCTGAGATCTAGAGGGTTATGATTCAAAGCCTGGGGATAAAAGTCCTTAGACAACATCTCCAATATAACCAGCCAAAAGCTGTACTAGAGGCATGGCTCACATTTGGTAGATATCTAAGAAACAAGCTGACCAAACATGAGGGCCTGAGTTCAAACATGGCAAACAACACCAACAGCAAAATCTTACCATTGAGAACAAGAAAATTACAGGGAAGCAGAAGCTGGACTTCCACTTGCAAGTATTGCATGTTTACCTAGCACTTCCTCCATTGTGGTTTTTGTACTTCAAATGGCTTTCAGGTAGTAAGAGCAAAAGAACAATGTCTTTTGAATTGTTTTTCCAAAAATAATTTTAGGCTGAGAGCATGTGTTTATAATATCATAATCCTTAGATAAACTACTACTTAATTAAGCTCCTGATGCATCTTGAAGAATTTAGACTTTGAAGGTTTCAGAAAATAACTGTGCCAAATGAATAGGCAGCCTTAGTTTCTCCAAATCTGTTTAAGTAGTTGTACAGAGGTGTTTCAATTCAATACATCAGCTCATAAACACAATGCATCTTGGTCAAATTTTTTAAATTATTTATCATTTTGTTTTGTTAGTATCTGGGCTTAAACTCAGTATCTCATCCAGCTTGCTTGCTTATGGCTGCTCCTCTACCTCCTGAGCCAAGTCTCCAGCCCAGCCTTTTACTGCTTAATTGAAGGTGGAGGGTTTTGGTGTTTTTATTTTTGTTGTTGTTGTTTTTCTTTCTTTCTTTCTTTCTTTTTTTTTTTTTGGGTCCAGTCGTGGTGCCTGAACTCTGGGCCTGGGCGCTGTCCCCCAGCTCTACAGCTCAAGGTTAGCGCTCTACCACTTGAGCCACAGCACCACTTCCGGCCTTTTTCCTTTTGCTTATGTGGTGCTAAGGAATCGAACCCAGGGCCTCAGGCAAGCAAGGCAAGTGCTCTACCACTGAGCCACCTTGTTGTTGTTTTTTGTCAGTTGTGGAGCTTGAACTAAGGTCCTGGGTCCCTGAGCTGTTCTTTGCTCAAGGCTAGTGCTCTACCACTTTGAGCCACAGCTCCACTTCTATTTTTTTTGGTGGTTAACTGGAGATAAGAGTCTCAGACTTTCTTGCTAGGGTTGGCTTTGAGTCACAATCTTCAGATCTCAGCCTCCAGATTACAGATAATGACGCAGTAGCACCCAGCTTGGAGATGGAATTTCGCAGTCTTTTCTGCCTGAGCTGGCTTCCAAACATGAACCTCACATCTCAGCCTAAGATTACACATGTAGCTTTATTTGTTTAGAGGTACAAATAGAGTGGCCCCAAGACCAGCACTTGTACCAATCCCATTTGTCCCCCGTGTCTGGTGTTGTACACATTCATTGACTAGATGAACAAATGAGCCAAAGGGGAGACAGCTGGTGCAGCTGAGCGATGTGACCCTTCTCCGTGGTGCCAGTGCTGACGTGAAGGCAGTGGGGTTAGGCCGGCTTGTTTAGAGCCATGTGCACCTAGATGGGAAAGCCATGTCTATTACTCACTAAGCTGAGTGGCCTAGGGTAAGTCATTTCCCTCACTCTCAGTGTCTTTCTCTGCTAAAAGGACAAAATCCTCCACTAGGATAGTTACTTTAATTGACTTTACTTCATTAAAAATGTTTGGGCGTTGGAGGCGTGGCTTAGTTGGAAGAGCAGGGACTGAGCTCAAGTCCTAAAAAAAGAGTTTGGACAATGCCTGGTTCCTAATAGATTGTACCTGGAGTTACTATTTTCACTTGAAGGCAACCCATTAAAATTACTCTCCTGATGAGTAAATGTGAAACACTGTCAAGAAAATGATTTTTTGAAGGCTAATCAGGATATAATAATTGAATATTATCAATGTTGCTGGATGATGATAGAACATAATAAGGATAAGTGGCCCGAAACAAACTACAGATTCAACACAGGTCTTCTAGCAGAAATCTCCACTTTATAAGACATCAGCAGTGGAGTTACCATCCAGATTAAAAAAATGTAGTCATCCTGAAATGGATTTGGGAGCATTTACTAAACTTTGTCGGGTTCCCCATGAATTATTGTGAAAAATATGGAGGAGAATGAGTTCTATCTAAATTTATTTTCTTGTGTTTTTTTCTTCTTCTTCTAAACCTTTGTATCAAGGGGCTAACTTTCAGTAATCACAGTGAGGGAGCTGCTCTGCTGAGAATGAATTTTACTTAGGGTTATAGACATCTTGAACACTGAAGAAAACAACAATAACTCTTGGCTGTCTGCCCTTCTTTTGTGTGTTTTGTTTGTGCATGTGTAGCGGAGACACAGACTCTGCCCACTCTCCACGATGAAAATATGACCGTAAGTAATTTTAATCTCTACACGTATGGGTGTGTCTTCGGAGTGCTTTGTGCCATCCTGTCTTTGGGGAAAACCCTCCCTTTGCGGCTTCCTCAGCTGAAACAAAGATGATGACAAGTCTGAGCGATCGGGCCTATGGGAAGAAGGAAGGGCCTGGCCCTTGGTAAAGAAAGAACACCAGCATTGTGTCCCTCTTCTCAAATTTCATATCTGATCACAGTGGAAGGTTCAGAGACTCTTCCTCGCAGAATATGTTTAACCTGATAATTTAATATGCTGGCCTTATGTGATAGTTTGCAAACATTACTTGATGGCTTGAATTTATTTATATAAAAAGACATCAATTAAGTATATTCAGCCAGTCGATACTCAGGAGGCTGAGATCTGAGGATCACGGTTCAAAGCCAGCCCAACCAAGAAAGCCCATGAGACTCTTTTTTTTAAATTATCCTTAAGTAGTTGTACAAAGAAGTTCCCATTCTACAAAATCCATGAGACTCTTAACTCCAATGAATCACCAGAAAATCAGAAGTGGAGCTGTGGCTCAAGTGGTAGAGTGCTCGCCTCCAGCTGAAGAGCTGAGGGACAGCGCCCAGGCCCAGAGTTCAAGCCCCACGACTGACCAAAAAAAAAAAAAAAAGAATATTCAAAGCCAATTTATGTATTTACCTATTAAGCAATGCACTTTTTAAATCAAAATCTTAATGTTCTCAGAGCAAAAGACAAACTACTAGAAAGATGGAAGCAAACAAAGATTCTTTGAGGACCTCCAGGATTCTGCATTAATTTGACTCTGTCTCCCACTTGTGTTTGTCCCTGAGCTCTTTGTAATTAAGTATGCACACAGCTCTTTTTTTTTTTTTTTTTGCTGGTCCTGGGGCTTGAACTCAGGGCCTGGGTACAGTACCATTTCCAGCTTTTTAAAGTAGTTTATTAGAGTTTAGAGTCTCATGGGACTTTTCTGCCCCGGCTGGCTTTGAACTATGATCCTTAGATCTCAGACTCCTGAGTAGCTTGGATTACAGGTGTGAGTCACCAGTTGCCTGGCATCCCACAGCTCTTCATATGTAGTGCCTGGCAGATAGGACTCCAGCCTCACCAGGAGAGTAATGTGTGTTGAATCAACACAAGATTTAAGTTCCTTGACTTTTCTGTCTCAAAGTGGATATTCTTTTTTTTTGGTTGGTCATGAGGCTTGAACTCTGTGCCTGGGTGCTGTCCCTCAGCTCTTCAGCTCAAGGCTAGCCCTCTACCACCTGAGCCACAGCACCACTTCCAGTTTTCTGGTGGTTAACTGGAGATAATATATCGAGTCTCATGGATTTTTCCTGACCAGACTGGCTTTGAACCATGATCCTCAGATCTCAGCGTCCTGAGTAGCTAGGATTGCAGGCGTGAGCCACCGGCGCCTGGCTTGGATATTGTTCTTAAAGGCAGAATGTAGACTGAAATTTTATAAACAGATTTGTGTTTGCAACTCCCAGTTATTAGAAATTGGAGAACTAGCAATGCTCACTACAATGGACTGAACATTGATCACATACCAGGCCCTGTGCTAAGCATTTCATTTTTTCTTCTTTTTTTTTTCTCCTTAATTTACCCATAATTCTACAAGGTCGCTGAGCTCTGGACAGCAAAGTTTGCATTGGGATCCAAGTCTGTCTGTCTACAAAATCCAGGCTCTTAAATCACTGTGTTTCTGTGCAAATTGGGGTTTCACTGCAGACCACCAAATGCAGAACACTCTCCAAACCCTGAGGAACACAGGGGGTCCTGAACAACTAGAGCTTCACCCCAAAACCCTTGGGGGTAGGGTGGGGACAAAGAGCCCCTCCTGTACCTACAGCATAGAAGAGATTGTTCTGTTTGTTGGATTTGGTGGTCTGTGACTAGTTTGGAAGGAGGCGGATGGGGGGTGGTTTCTTGGTTCCTATAGTTTTGGGAGTCCAGGGAGGCAGTTGACAGGCTGGTCTGATTTACCAGTACTGTGACTGGCTGAGTACGCAGTGCATGTCCAGACTTTTGCAGCTTGATTTTCTGTTTGTGTTTTCCTAGCAAATACACACCCTGGCCAGAAATTTCCAAGATTCTGAAGCAGCCACCAGAACTGGCATCTACGTTGGAGCAGGAGTCTCTGCTGGGCTGGTTCTTGCACTGATGTTTGTTGCTTTACTTCTCACGCGTAAGTCCTGAACACTGCCTTCTCTCTCTCCTTCTGATAAGAAACATTCATGTAGGGACCAAATGAGCCTAGATAAGATGTAACTTTATAATCATTCTTAAAGGTGATGAGACTAAACACTCATTCATTCTTCTAAACCCTAACAGTAAAAAATAGCTAATCTATTCAGTGCTTCCTGTGTCAGGCAGGCCCTGTGCTAGAAGTTTTACTTATACCTTCTCATCACCATTGGAAAAGATGGGCTGTATTATCTCCACTTAACAATGGAGGACAGTAAGCTTAGAAGAGTAAGCCACATTCCCTGCATAGTTCTATATTACTCTGAATATTACTTTAGCTCAAGGCACCAATGTCCCTATTTGTCTAATTTCTTTAATTCTCCGTCTAGTCTTTCTCTCCAGAGTGGTATTAAAATGTAAGTCAGATTGTCTTTTAGTGTGTGCGTGCAAGTACCAGTACCAGAGCTTGAACTCAGGGCCTCAAGTTTCTCTTGTTAATGGGCAGTGCTCTACAACTTGAGCAAGGTTTCTAGCCTAACAGAAGTCTGATTGTATCTCTTCTCTTCAGTGATTTCCTACAGATCTTAGACTAAAATCCACACTCTGGATTATGACTGCAAAGCTCTTAGAGGACCCAGCTCTCAGCTTGCTCTCAGACTCTGGAGTCTTTCTCACTCTAGCACTTACTAAGATCTTTACCAGGGGTTCTTTCTCTTCCTTGGGCTCCGGACAGCTGATGCATTCTTTTCTTTGAGAACTCAGCTTAAAGGTCTCAGAGTTTCCTAGATGACCTTCTCTGTGTTAGTGTGGGGTTGGTTTCTTTCATTTGCATCAAAATGTAAAATGAGGCTGGAAAGGCGGCTTAGTGGTAGAGTGCTTGCCTAGCATGCATGAAGCTCTGAGTTCAATTCCTCAGTACCACCTACACAAAAATCCAGAAGTGGCACTGTGACTGTAGTGGTAGAGTGGTAGCCTTGAGCAAAGCAAGCTCAAGGACAGCGCCCCAGGCCCTGAGCTTAAGCCCTAGGACAGGCAAAAACAATGTAAAATGATTTCATTTATCTCTACTTTATTGTTTCCTTCTCTAGAATGCAAGCTTTGCTAAGTGAGGGTTCACAATTTCCTTGTGTGCCTGGTTCCTAGTGATATGTCAGACATATAGAAGATGTCTCCTATTTGCTAGATAAGAACAGAACATCTTAAATGTTTTCTAGCATAGTACTAAGATACACACTGAAAGTTCAATTTAGTTCATTTTAAGGTGGCACCAGAGTTACCTACACAATTCTTGTCTCATTTGGGGTATGTGTTTGTGTGTGTGTGCACATGCACACGTGTCTTTTCTCTTATTTATTTATTTTTTTTTGGGTCCGGTCGTGGGGCCTGAACTCTGGGCCTGGGCACTGTCCCTCAGCTCTTCAGCTCAAGGCTAGCTTTCTACCACTTGGGCCACAGCGCCACTTCTGGCTTTTTTCTTTTTGCTTATGTGGTGCTGAGGAATCGAACCCAGGGCCTCATGCATGCAAGGCAAGCGCTCTACCTCTGAGCCACCTTCCCAGCCCCTTTTCTCTCATTTATAAAAGCACATAATCTCATGCCTGTAATCTTAGCTACTAAGGAAGCTGAGATCTAAGGATCATGGTTCAAAGCCAGCCTTGGCAGGAAAGTCTCTGAGCCTCTTATCTCCAATTAACCATCAGAAAACTGGGAAGTGGCCCTGTGGCTCAAGGAGTAGAGTGCTTGCCTTGAGCTAAAGAGCTATGGGACCGTATCCAAGTCCCAGAGTTCAAGCCCCAGGACACAGGGGGGTGGAGGGACCGCTCATATTAACTTATCTTCCCTTCTTCCTAGGGTATTCTCATAGGAAAAGGAACTTGCAGAATTTAAGGTAAGAATAATAGAAGGAGAGGAGGAAGGGAGCTTGGAGGTCCCGCTATAGTGTCCCTTTATCTTTGCTCTGAGAAGTGCTGACCTGGGGCTTTCAGATCTGAGCCTCAAATTCATCTATACTCTAGGGCTAGTTGATGAGAAGAAGATTCTACATGCTGTGTTTTTCATTCTCTGATAGTTGAGTTCCAAAGTTAAGATACAGAATTTGTTTTCTAAATATTAAGAAATACTTACTTATCTCTCTATTAATGGACGTTTCTCAATGACTAATGAACTTGCACTGGACTGAGCACCTACTTCTCCGGGGTTTGAGCTGGACTCTGGGGTGACCAAGGGGAACACGAGAACCCGAGCCCACTCGCAAAGCTTTTCTTGCTCAGCAAGGCATTTTTCATATCAGGATCACCTTGTCACTTGATGAAGATCAGTATCAGCGCAATTGAATCAGGGATGGAATTAGGGGATCAGGCCTCAGCAAGCATTATTCTAAAAGTTCTCCAGGCTATTAGAAGATACAATCAGGGTTGAGAATTAAGAGTCTTGCACAGCCCTCCTACTATGTATATGCAGACACATCATTCCCAATAAGCATAGATTATATAATCCTGTGATTAGATATTGCACTTTCAGTGACATTTTACTACATGGAGAGAATACAATGTATTTCAAAAACAAAGGACCATCACTGAATACTATGTGAACCACTACGCATTTTAGATTAAGTAAAACATGGTATATTCTAAAGATAAACAATGTGCAGTAAAAAAGTCCTATAAAGGCAGATAAAATATTCAGTGATTAGTGCTACTCTTCCTCCTGAGAGCTGGCACTTGGAAATATAATATTCAGAGGTCACGTGGACAGACACCAATCATTAGTTGCAAAATTATGTGACTAATGTTATGGGTACAGATTAATCTCTACTCTCAACGTCCAACTCCATAAAAAACTGGGAACTTCTCCTTCACATGGACAGCTGAATGCCCGGCTCAGTACCTGGGACCATCAATGATATATCAAGCATCTGTGACTAAAAACTCCTTACTGTGGCCTTGTAAGGTTGGGCTGTTATAAATTTCTGTTTTATAAAGTCTAAGCCCAGGCCAGGCACCAGTGACTCATGCCTGTAATCCTAGCTACCCAAGAGGCTGAGATCTGAGGATCGAGGTTCAAAGCCAGCCCAGGCACAAAACGTGAGACTCTTATCTCAATCTCTTTTTTTTTGGGGGGGGGTCC